ATAAACCCTACACCCTAAACCAAAATTAGGGGATCTGCGTTGCGGCCAATGAGTCGATCCCCACGATCGCAAACCCATAGACCAGGATCATCACCATCAAGAAGGTCCACAGCAAAGTGCCTTCCGTGCTTCGGTGTAGGCTTCAGGGCTTTAGGTTTTGGGGTTCATGGCTCTAGAGTCTGAGCGGGCCTGCGAGCAATACCTCTTCATCACGCCAGTCCATGCTAGTGTTAGTCAACCAACTCGTAGTCTAGTATAATATGGTAACCATTTACTATAACATATAATATCATGTAGTGATAGTACAGTATAATATAACATTAAGCCAAGGTGCTGACGCTGTGAAGTAAGCCCTGAACGAGCTGCCAAAGAACGCGAAACTGGACCATGAGACCTCATGAGGCATCGCGTTGAGGATTGAGGGTGTAGGGCTCAAGTTCCGGGTGTGGTGGCGGGGGGTGGGGGGGGGGGGGCTTGTAAAGTCTGGGGTGATGGTTTCGAAGGTTTAGAGCTGTCAGTTTTTTCGGGTGTAGGCTTCGGGAGATAAGGTTCAAGCATCGGGTTTAAGGTTCAGGCTTCTGGGCTCGGTGTTCAAGGTATAGGTTGCAGAGTTTCTGCTGTAGGAGCTTGGGATTGGGGCTAAAGAAACGAGGCAGAAGGATTCAGGGCATAGGGTGAACTGGACGAGACCAATGACAACTGTCCAACATGCAAGGTTTGATGAAGGGGCCTCAAGAAACAAGTACGAAAGTCAGGGTTTCTATCGCTACTATCTCCACAATGACATCCAGAATATACACTCACCAAAAACCTGAGGAGCCTAAAATCCCTCCCTACCTCACCTCCTTGATCATGCAAACAACAGGACGCGCTCCGACAATTGGGGCCTGGCCTTTGGGAGGTGCTTCCTCTGGGGTTCTTCTTGTTTTGCACCCCATATGGGAGTTTCCGAATATTTAGGGGACCTTATTTGGGGATCCTTNNTCCTACTATTTAGGGTACTATAAAAGGGTCCCCTATTTTCGGAAACCCCCATATAGACCTAGAGCAATGATACTAAACATATTCAACTCAACTATCGAGCAGCAATGGCTTTCTCTCTATTCAACCTGTACCTTGCGCTCGCGCATCTACGCGCTTGCAGCCTTGGGCTCTAGGCTCTGAGGACTTAACTCGGGTGAGCCACGCTCCCATGGCGCAAGCCCTCAAACAATCTGAAACCCGCCACAAGACGCCGGTGCCGCAGCCCCTTAAGGAGCCTAAACCCTAAACCCTAAACCCTAAACCCAGAGAAAACCTGGCTCCGACGGGCGGCGCACAGCCCGGGCGAGCCGCGCCAGCCGAAGGATTCGGACCTTGGCAGGTCTTTAGGACTTAGGCTTTTTTAGGGATGTAGGGTTTTGAGGATTTAAGGGTTTTTGACCTAGTAGTTTAGGGTGTGGGTTTTTGGCATTGGGATTTCGGGGTTTTAGAGTTTAGGGTCAGTAGAAGGGTTTACCACGAAGGTTCTCTAGGGTTGCTATGGGTGACCGCAAAGAACAAATTGAAGGTTACGGAAAGGCTTCTATAGGAGGTTCTTAGGATGTGGGATTTCAGACTTTTTCGTGCCGGGCATCAGAGAGCTTTGCAGGGCCGGGCTCGTGGGGCTCTAGACGAAGCACAGCACAAGGTGGTTCTGAAGTACACGAACGGCTGCTGAACACCCTAAACCCTAAACCCTAAACCCTAAACCCTAACGGGCTGCGCTGGGCAGAGCCGGGAGCGATTGAGCTGAAGGGCTCGTGCTGCAAAATCTGCAGTACCTATCCTACACCACATCATACCAAACTTTTCACTAGACTATACTCGGCTGTACGATACCGTTCCATACCACTACCCTACCATACTATACTATACTATACTATAATATGCTAGAATGACTTAGCTTGTTGAGGCTCTCTGTTCAGCCCTCTTCCTGACACCAGTAAAAATCCAAACATTAAGGGCACAGCTACAAGAAAACATAAAGCCCAATCATCATCATCATCATCATCATCATCATCATCATGATCATCCTACTAACTACTACTACTACTACTACTACTACTACTACTACTACTACTACGACGACTACCACCACCACCGCCACCACCAGCCTAAACCCGAAACCCTGAAGCCCCGAGACGACTTCTTCTACGTAATCTGTAGACCCTGGGTTTTTATGTATAGTATAGTCTTAGGCCCTATAAAGTCTCTATATGAGACCTCTTTAGGGCCTAAGTAGATACTTCTTCTACGTAATCTGTAGACCCTGAAGCTCAGGAACCTGGCAGCTGTTCTGAGGCTCGTGCCAGCATGATCTGATTGATCTGGTTCCTTAGTCAGAGTATCGCATAGCATAATCTAGCATATTACAGCATAGTATAGTGTAGTATAGTAGTACAGTATAGTATAGTATAGCATAGCATGGTATGGTATAGTATAGCATAGAACTGTTGAGTATGGTATAGTACGGTATGGTATAGCATGGTGTAGTGTAGTATGGCAGCGTAGGGGAGGGCGAAGCTGAGAGTCCGGAGTTTGCGGAATTTAGGGTCGAAGGTTTCTTGCCCCTTAGGACGGCTGCACAAAGGAGAGGGGGTGACATAGGGGCCTTCAGAAGTGGAACAGCGTTCTCTTGGGTTTCATCGGGGTTCTACAAGAGCCCTAGTGTGCAACACAAGGGCCTCGTTCAGTGGTGCAGGGTCCCCAGAATGAGAGCAAAGGCTCCGAGTCGAAAGTTTCAATGGCATGCGCTATAAGGGCCTTAAAGGTTACAGCGGGATTTTGAGTTGTACTATAGTCTCTAGTTCTATACAAAACAGGCAGGGGCAATACTTATAATTGACATGGAGATTTCTGGCTATCGTTACCGTTGTACCATAAAAGTATATCCGAAACCCCCCTTCTGATTATTGATTTGCGATGTCTCATGATAGTTATACCACAATGTTCTCCCCAAAATCCCATTCTGAGTATTGACTTGCGATGTCTCATGATAGTTATACCACAATGTTCTCCCCAAAATCCCATTCTGAATATTGATTTGCCGGAGTGGCAGGATCTCGCTGCTTGTCGAGAGCTGCTGGAGGGTGATGTCCACCATGCTGGACAGCACCAGAAAGAGATCAAACTTGATCCAGGCACCTGGGTTCAGTTTGAGTTTGAAGGATCATGGGACTTGATAGCCAAGACTTTGAATAAGGTAGTTGTAAGTATACTTCTTTATGAGTCTAGTTAAGTTACTTTTGACCTCACTTGCCCTGATCCCCCAGTCAGGCCTTTAGGGCGCGGGGCTGCGGGTTTCGAGTCTCGGATTTTGGCTTTCGGGGGTTTTAGGTCTTCTTTGGGAGGTGGATCACCAGAAAAGCCACCAGAACCACCCCGGGATCAGGAAGGAGGAATCCTGCCACCGTCCATTGAGGCATCGGCCCAAGAGCCTAAGGGTTTAGGGTTTAGGGT